AATAGAGGAAGACTGGCACAGATGTTAGCTCAGGGCTAATCTTCCTCAACAACAACAAAAGAGCTTTGAAGGAAATGCTAAGGTTAGGACAACTAAAACTGAGAAATTAATAACAAAGAAAAAAAGAAGTAAAAATGTAGTTCATTGACAGTGGGAGCCAAAATGGTTCCTTTCCAGCAAGAAAATCAGCAGTATGCATTAAGAGCCTCAAAAATGTTCATATTCTTTAACCAACCTAGGACTCTATTCCAAAATGATAATCAGAAATGTAATATATCACAAGCGCAATGAGCCAAAGTGCTCATCATTGTAGTATTTTTGATAGCAAAAATCAAAAACATCTTAAATTTTCAAAATTAAGGAAAAGGTTAACTAAATAATGGTTCAGCCATATGATGAAATATTTGCCATCATTAATACAGTGGAAAGGCTAATGAAATAAGGTGCATCAGTTAAAATGGCAAACCAAAAATGGTTCAAACAATAATGACATTTACTATCTCACTTAAAAAGAATTTGGGAGGTAAGGAAAAAAGCAGAGTTAGTTAAGATTTGGCAAAGACTACTTGTTGTCATGTATTATCTATTCTCCCTTCTTTCTCAGAAAGAGAACTCTGATTTTTAGATATGCATACAGCCACTCAAAAACTGACCACTTTTCCCAGACTCTATAAATACTAAATACTGGTCAGTGTGATAAAAGCTGAATTGTCTTATACAGCTTCCAAGAAGTGTCATTAAAGTAGGGGTGAGGGGAGTACATTCACCTCTTGTACTTCCCTCCTTTCTGTTGATTGGAATTCAGAAGTGATAGCTGGAAATTAAGCAGCCATCTTGGACTATGAGTAGGAAGCCATGTCTTGAGTAGAAGGGTAACAAGAGAGATGGAATCAGGATCTTTAACAACAAGGAGCACCACATCTGTTCTGGAACACCTACGTCTAGACTACTTTTATGTGAGAGAGAAATAAACTGCTATTAAGCCACAGTTATTGAGTTTTCTGACACAACCATCTGAACTTAATCCTAAAATCTGGGCTCTACCCTTAGAGTTTCTGATTCAGTAGACCTGGGCTTAGGGCCTGATAATTTGCATTTCTAACTAGTTCCCAGGTGATGCTGATGCACCCGGTCCAGGGACCACACTTGGAGAACCACTGCACTAACGGAAGTAATAACTCAGTGGTTCTCAACCATTGCTTTACATTAGAATCACTGGGGAGGGGAGTAGGGAGGGTCTCTAAAAAACCCACAGTCTATCTGGGACTCACTTCCAAAGGAGACTCTAATTTAATTGACCTGGGCTGGGCCTGGGTATGGGTGTAGGTTAAAAATCTTCCAGATGATTCTAAGAAGTATAACAGGACTGAACACCGTAACTCTTTCCCTACATACTGTGAACAGCTGTAATGAGACTGAAATTGAGTAGTGAGGGGAATGATATTTAGAAAGCTGCACTTGATGGCCCAGGACTTGAAGCCAGAAGACTGAGATTTAAGTGCCTTCTCTGGGACAGTTATGAGGACAAGGAACACTGGAGTTTCTCTGGACCTTAGTTACTTTACTTGTAAAATGGTGATGAAAATATATACATCATCAGGTTTTTGTAAAGACTGGATTATATTATATAATTGAAAACACTTTGAATCTCAAAGTGTTACCTAGAAATAATAAGGGAGTGGGGCCAGCAGATCATCTATGGAGAACCTGAGTTGGTTTAGCTCCAGAACAGGATTGGAGAATTGAAAGAAGTAGAAGGAAAACAAGAGAAAACGTAGGAAGAAATAATGTAGGACTCATCTGTGACTCCCTGCCACAGAGGACTGGAATGCATGATAGGATCGCCCATGTCTCCTGCCATGGGTGCTGCCTTTTCCTCCTTTCCTTGATTTTTTTTTTAATCATGATTATATTTTCAACAGTTGTTCTTAGTCTGGAATAACTCCTCTGGGTGAAATTCCTGGCCTGGAGCCTGCATAGAAAGAAGCAAGTGTTGAAGAATGGATATTCCAGCTATTAGGATCGTTACAGTGCCATCAATAACCACAGCCTGAAATCTCCTGTCAGTGAAATGTTTTCCCAGGTGGCTGTTTTATATCCAGGTGTTTGGCTGTAGATGTGCCAGATGTCAGGAAGTGACTCTGATACTTCTAATTTCAGGACAAATAGCACCAGGCAAAGGGGAGTTCAGATCACGACCTGGAGGGCCTCAGGTGCCAGACTCAGGAGTGTGGACGTATTCTGTAGCCTGTAGAAGTCACTGGTTTTAATCTAAGAAGTGATAGAGAGTGGTACTCAGAATATCAGTCAGGAGGCCAGTGCAATGGATTAGTCTGGGGTGAGGCTGACATCAAGATGACCAGCATAGAGATTCCTGAAATAATTCAGGTGTCAGGACCTCAACTAGGGTAGTGGCAATGGAAGTTGAAAGGAAATGATAAGTTCAAGAAATATGATGGATGAAAATGGACAACACTTGGCCTTCACAATTGTTAGGTTCTTTTAGTAAATACAAGTAGCCTTCAACAACTAAAGATTGATGAGAGCTACCCGTCTCCTCTCTTGCTATTAGATAGTGTCCTACAGTGAAAGCAATCTCAGACTTCATGCTACTACACAAATAAATATTCATCAACAAGGAGACACAAAAAACAGTACATAAACAATATTTTGTGGCAAAGTACTAAACAGTGGTCTAGACCTGGAGCCATTCTGAAGGGTGTCAGTCTGCTAGATTCTTATACCACATTTATGCAAGGACAGGAGTGCCTGTATAATATTCTAGCCAACCACATGTCTTGAACACCTGTTAATTCCACAATGAAAAATTATTTCTAATTCTTGATGCTAATTAACATACCTCTAGTGCAGATTTACATAGTGATATTGGAAGCAATCGTGCATCCAACTTTGTAGTGAAGATTCCTGATTAGCGTCTTTCAAATGCTAATTACTCACCCTGCAGTGTGCAGATTAAAGTTAACTCTCAAACACATACACATCTCACTGAAGTATTCTAAAGTATACCGACAAGATAATGAGCATCAAAAATGGTTTCAAGGGTCAAAAGGCAGAGGATCATGTTTGAGGAAGATGAAAAAGCACTGTTTTAATGAGGCGTCTTAGTGCTAAGAAACAGAAAACAGCTGCGGCTGATTTAAGCAGAAAAGAAATTTTTTAGAAGATATTTGGTAGCTCAGAGGATTGAAGATGGAAGCTTGGATCTGCATGGCCAGAGACCACAACCAATAACAACAGACCACAGAACTGCTCGGAGAGGGCTCTGGGGTTGCTGTCACCATGCACAGGCATCTTGAATCACTGACTCCGCTAATACTGGGTGCTGATGCCACCACTAGAACCACTCTCACCACTGCCCCAGGAGCTTACTTTGCTACACTCCTGCAGTTATCCAGGGACCATAGCTTTCTGTGCCAGCTTTTTTGAGTCACTAGCTTCCAGCTGGTGCACATGATTGGTTCAGCAAGTATTTGGCATTTCAGTTTCAGCCACTAGACTCCTAGGGTGGGCAAGTCTCCAAATGGAAGGGGGCCTCAGGTGGTGGGAATGCAAAAAAGAAAAAAGATAAATGTCCATTAAAGGCAACTTGAATTGGAAGTGATGACAATATATTCAAGTAGAAACTTGTAGCAGGCAGTTGGAAATGTGACACTGTGTTCCCCAGAGGGCCAGAGTTACAGATTTGGGAGTTGGGTAGTGATTGCACTTAGAGTTAGACGTGAGACAGAAGTCTGGAGAGAATCTAAGTCAAACTTTTCATGTAAACACGAGGAATCTGAATCGGAGAGTGCTTCATCTCTATAGATGCCCACTCCGAACCCCCAACAGCTATTAAATGAAAATGAAGAAATGCACACTCTAGGGGAGAAAGGACAAGTATATAGATAACACTAATATACCATAAGTGAGAGAAGAGAATTAGCGATTGTTAAGGGCCTATTGGGTACTATTATTTTATTTAACAAATATTTAAGTGGCAACTATATATCAGGCACTATGCTAGGCTGATTTAATGCTGAGCAAAACCAGACATGTCCCTGCATTTGAGGAAATGAAAGCAGGCTGGGGTGCAGAGAGTTGGGGGGCAGTGTGGTGTGAGGTCAAACTGGAGGTAGAAAGGGGCCAGATTACACAACTTGTCCGTACCTGTTTAAGGATTCTGAGATTTATCCTAAACGGGATAACCCATCTAAACGTTTTTAAGGCATTTTTTACGTATATTACACTTAATTCCTACAATGAGCCCTGTAAGGTATTATTAGCACTCATTTACATAGCAGGAAACGGGTTCACAGAGATTAACTGACCTATCTAAGAGCTACAAACAGTAGTAGATGGTGGGGACAAAAGGGAAGGGGAATTCATACATTCTGAGGGCCTACCTTATGCCAGAAAAAAAATACTGGTTCACTGAATATTCACAACAACCCTGCAAGGAAGGTTACCATTTTATAAATGGAGAAACCGGGGTGACACACAGGAAAAGGGAAGAATCAGAATTCAAACCCCAAGACTCTCCGGCTGCACAGGGGTTGTGAAAACGCTGCCTCCAGGTAATATCCCCTTACGTTGATTCAGTGCGCTGAGTGCAAATGAGGATCAGCCCTGGAGTTGAAGGACCCTCAGGAAGCGAGACTGGCGAACGTGTAAGGCACAGAGTGAAGAGGGGGAACGGACAGGCCAGGGCTGGGGGAGCTTAGTGTTCTCCGTGGACTGAAGACCCGGGCGGTGTATTAAAGGAAGTCTTATTTAGAAAAGGGGGCGATAAGGGCTCTGAAGGCGAGCCTAAGGAGCTTGGGCTGTAGGCGGTCAGCGGATACCCAACCATATATTGTGCCATAGATACTAAAGAGCAGCAACGCCTTCTGCAGTTTTTACAGCCGACGTACGAGCGTCCCGCCCGTCCTGCCCCAGTTTCGGTCCGGCCCGAGGCGGCGGCCTAGAGGCTTGATGGACACGGTCGGCGTGATCCAGCGTGGTTTTCCTGCTCCCTGTTCTCCGCCGCTGACTCCAGGTCTCGGGAGGGCACCGAAGCCCGCTGAGCCTGCGCCTTAGGCGGGGCTGTTCGCGCTCGCGCAGCGCCAGACGCACCTGGGTCCCCCCGCGGCGCGGCGGGTTGGGGCGGGGAGTCGGGCCGGGCCTCAGGGAGGAAGCGCGCCGTGCGGTTTGACCCCGGCGGCGTTCCGTACCGTCGCAGAGTCGGCGGCGAGAACATGGCGGCCGCGGTCGGGCGGGTAACGGAGAAAGTTTCCAAGGAGACTGGTCTGTGCTAGTGGGTGCGGCCTCGGGCCCTGGAGCCCCCGCGCGTGCCATCTCCCCGCTCCGAGTAGCAGGTTCAGCCCCAAAGGCCTTCCCTTTACTGTGTTTGCCCCAGAGCCGACTCCGAGTCTTGAGAGAGCTTTGGTGGCGACGGCCGAGTCAGGTAGGAGGACCAGGGGGTGAACGGCGGGGCGGCGAGACCCGAGCACAGACACCGCCCAGGGCTCCGCGTGGTCCGGGCCCCAGGCTCCGCCCAGCTGGCCTCCCGAGGCGGGGGTAGGGATCCTGCCCCGAGAGAAGTTGACAGTGTGGGGTGGAGGATGGAAGGTGGAGGGCGCCTCTCCGTATCCCCCAGCGGTTCCCCGCTCAGCTGGGCGCTCACGGTGGTCGCCTTCTTCCAAAATAGAGGGATGGTCGAGAACAGCCAGGCTCCTTCTCAGGCTTCCCACATCTTGCTAGAAGGAGGCCAAATGGAAGAAGAATTGCTGTTGCTGCCCTATTGTTGAGGGATTTAATATTCGAGGTGCCTTTCTCCATGTATATGACGAACCCAAAGAGTTATTATCATGAACTCAGAACCGAAGCACAGAAATTCCCCCACCCTGGCTGCTCATTATGGTTCTTTCAGCTTTTGACGCTTCCCCTAGATGGGGCAGAAATAGTTCCTGAGTCGAAAGCTGATGCATACGATATAGTGTGTTTTGGACTCCTTAGTGAGCCATTCCCTAGAGGTCGGACATGCAAGAGCACTTACTGGTTTGGGGGAATTTGGATGAATTAAGTGAAGGCTAGAGTAGGGCCGATAGAGAAACACACCAAACATTCGTGGAATCTCCCTTAGCTCTATTACTTATTAGCTGTGGGATAGGCGACAAGTTGTTTATTCTCTTTGTGTATTAGTAATTGTCGAATAACTGGTTGCCATTCTTATTAAATATAGTGAGTTCTGTACTAGACTTTATTTCTTCAACAAGTATTTGTTGAATACCTACTTAGTGCCAGACTTTCTGCTAGACCCTGGGCATACAGTGTTGAAGACAACCCCTCAGAGATCTTGTGGTCTAGTGGAGAATGCAGACGTTAAACCAGTGTTGATGAGTATTTTGCTGTTATACAAGCAGTAGAGGTTTCATATGAATAGGTCAGGGGTGATTTCCCTAAGAAAGTGGTTTAAGCTGAGACCTGAAGGGTAGGAGTGAGCCACGTGTGAGGACTTGGGTGGGGCCAAGAGGAGGGAAAGGAGTGCACCTGGAAAGGAAATAGCATTTGTGTAGTTTAGAATTGAAAGGTCAGTATGGCTGGAATACAGAGTTAAAGAGGGAGAGTGGTAAGAGATGAGGCAGGGAGGTTATTTACATCCAATGTGGAGGGTCTTATCAGGCAGTTTAAGAAGTTTCGACTTTATTGCTAAGGGTGATCGGAAGACATTGGAGGGTTTTACATAGGAGAGTGTCATGATAAATTTTGATTTTATAAAGGACACTTCTTGGAGAAGAGCAAGAGTGGATACAGGGAGATGTTGAAGCATGATTCAGTGGTGGCCAAAATTGGGATGGTGACCTTGGAAATGGAAAGTAGAAACATTTAAGAAGTGTCTAGGAGAAGAGTGGACAGGACTTGGTGAGGATTAAATGTAGGTGGTGAAGAAGAGGAGGGTTAGAGTAGTAAGTGGAGTTTTATGAAACAGACTCTGGCAGTTATTAGTTAAACTTTTCCCTAATGCAAATTGACTCATCTGTGCTCCGTTTTTATCTGCATCTGAAGTAATTTCCCATTGCATTATTATTAGTGATGGCAGACAGTTGGAAAGGATTGTAATGCTTTGTTGTTTTACTCTCTGGTTCACGTTTTCTTTTGAAGGTCAGAAGGGGGAAAGACTTTGTAAATTAGTCATTTAAAAATAATTATCTGCCACGTTGGTTTTGCCCCTTAAGAGGGTGGCTGCATGTATTCCATGAATTGGATGTACTGTACTTTATTTAAAGTTATTTACATGTTTACATTTACTTTGTTTCCAGGTTTTTACCTCTATTAACAGTGTAGAACAGAGCTAGCGCTTTTATTTCTATCAGGTAGATTAATATTTGTGTGTACTTAAGGAGAGAGATAATAATTAAAGACATGGAAGTAGATGAGAGTCCTCATAGAAAGTGTGTAGTGAGAGAAAAGCCTATGCTTGAGATTGAACGTCTAAAGGATGAATTAGGACTGAAGAGCCTGCAGGGAGACAAGAAGGAGAGGAGGAAAATCTGGAGACTGATCTTTGGAAGCTAAAGGAAGGGCAGGTTTCAGAAGGTGAGAGGAGTCGGTAATGTCAAAAGTTGTTTGAAGAATGTGCAGGATAATGGGTGATAAGTTCCCATTGGATTTAGGAACTTACAGGCCATTTCGGAACTTGGCAGAGCAGTTGTGTGGTGGGAACCACTGTTTAATGGTGTGAGAAGTGAAGCAACCAAATATTAGCTGTCAAGAGAATAGAAGATTGAATTTGGAAGAGGAAATGGGGATGAGCGAGGATTCTTTTTGTTTTATTTATTTCTGTGTCTGGGAAGTTTTTTGTAGTGTTTTTAAAAAGTGATTTTCAAATGTTTAAGTGCTAACGGAGTGAGAGTTTGAAGAGAGAGGAGAGAGTATGAAGTTCTGGAAGAGGCACAGGGAAGAGATACACAGTATGGCTGAAAGATTTAGCCTTAGATAGGGAAGGGACACTCTTCTTTCCTGGTGTTGGGAAATGTAGATAGAGGTGCGTTTCTGGTGTTGGAAACTCAAGTAAGCTTCCTTCTGACAACTCGGTGGAAGGCAAAGTCATCTGGTGAGAATGCAGTGGGAAGTGGGTATCAGAGATTTGAGGACAGGGAAGAGAGGTCTGGATAGTCACAGACTAGAGAATGGGAGAACATGTTGACCAGAGAAACACAGAAGGATGTCTCATGAATTTAGAGTGGCAACCATTTAGCCTGGTGTGTGATTTTTTGCCAGCAGTGTTTCGTAGTCTGAACCCAGACTGTATCATCAACCTGTAGAGGATATATATTCTGACATCTTTGTTGAATGGTTGTATAACACAAAGGAGTGATGTTAAAAAAAATTCAGTGCACTCTAGATTTTATCAGTTTCTCGCACTTGAGTAAAAAGATAAAACCAAAATATACCAAAGGAAGACTTTTTTTAGTTGTGTGTGGTATCTTAAGTAAGAAATGATTAAATGAAAATGTAATTGAGCAAAATCAGTTAGAATACCTAGTTAATTAGATAGATTTAGCTCTAAAAAATATACTTGTTGAGAATATAGAAGTAGAATTAGTAATAATAATACTGGGAACCTCCCAGAGACCCTAAGGTTGATTCAGTAACATTCTTCTCCAGCAAAATGGGTAATTAAGGGTTAATTCCAGGTTAAACCATGTTTCTATTGTGTTTTTCTTTTAGTGTCCTGCTATTAAGAAAGTGTAAATAAACTGATCTGGTTGAATTTTAATCTGGTTGAATTCTCCATGGATATTCTCCGTGCAATGGCTCGTGACCATGAACCATTGCAATGGATTGGTTCTTCTGAAACAGTAGACTAGAAAATTTGGAGAATTATCTAGTAGATAGTTAAATCATTTTTTGACTACTGTCATGTCTTAAGTGCAAGTTGTGGGGGCACTTAAGATTGAAATAATTATCTGGGTCCTGTAACAAATAATCATTGTGGTAACTTTTTTAAAGTAGAACTATAATGTTTCTAATTTACTTTTAAATAACTGTTGGTCAACATTCCAACTTTTCAGTTTTGACTGGAAAGTTCAGGAATTGGTTTACTACAGAGATAATATTTAGATTTAGAAAGTAGGTTTGGTAATCAGAGTAATTTACTAGAGGTAAAAGTACAGAGAGAATTATGGATCAACTTTAGGTAGTAACTTTAATACAGTTAAACTTGACTTCTAAGTTTGTTAGTTAAACGAAGTAAAGACTAAGATTTTATAGCATTATAGAGCTGCCTTGTAAAAAGATGTAGAGGATTTTAGGCAGGTAGTAATGGTCGTTATTATTGTATACTAGTGCTGTTCAAATTAGAGGTAATGGTGAAGTCCCTCATTCCTTTTAAGAGCTGAGTAGCTGTCCACTGTGCCAAACCCATCTGCCACAATCTAAGCTAAATTGAATACCTCACATTTGCATGCTGCTGAAAAATCAGATACTGGAATAAAAATGGATTAGGCGAATTCCTCACCAGCTCTGGGAACACAGTTTCATTGATGGTGATTTAGTCATGCAATCCCAGCATATGATGTGTAGAAAGCACTGGCATTTTTGTTTGGATAAACTGCAGAATTTTTAAGCCAGAGACACTTATCATTAAGATACGTGCAAAGCAGGTTTTAAACTGGGTTTCAGAAGAAACTTTATTTCTCACTTATTCATTATTTTGTACAAAAAAGATACATGTGAAAGGTAAATTATATAAAATTAACACTGAAATATTTTTTCTTCTTTTTAGATCCCTATAAACGAAAATTCCACCAGAGGACATGTTGAAATAGGAGTTACAGATATATTGGATTTGCTGGATGAAATACAAGCAGTTGATTTTTGTAAAGTGGGGAGAAAGCCCAAATTGCCAGAGTACATGTGTAAATCACTGCGTTATTGCTTTAGTCATTGTCTCTATTTAGCAATGACAAGACTGGAAGAAGTTAACAGAGAAGTGAACATGCATTCTTCAGTGCGTTATCTTGGCTATTTAGCCAGATTCAATTTACTGGTTGCTATATGCTTAGGTCTTTATGTAAGGTGGGAAAAAACAGCAAATTCCTTAATTTTGGTAATTTTTATTCTTGGTCTTTTTGTTCTTGGAATTGCCAGCATACTCTATTATTATTTTTCAATGGAAACAGCGAGTTTAAGTCTCTCTAATCTTTGGTTTGGATTCTTGCTTGGCCTCCTGTGTTTTCTTGATAATTCATCCTTTAAAAGTGATGTGAAAGAAGAATCAACCAAATATTTGCTTCTAACTTCCATAGTATTAAGGATATTATGTGCTTTGGTGGAGAGAATTTCTGGTTACGTCCGTCATCGACCCACTTTATTAACCACAGTTGAATTTCTCGAACTTGTTGGATTTGCCATTGCCAGCACAACTATGTTGGTGGAGAAGTCTCTGAGTGTCATTTTACTAGTTGTAGCTTTGGCCATGCTGATTATTGACCTGAGAATGAAGTCTTTCCTAGCTATTCCAAACTTAGTTATTTTTGCAGTCTTGTTGTTTTTCTCCTCATTGGAAATGCCCAAAAATCCAGTTGCTTTTGCATGTTTTTTTATTTGCCTGATAACTGATCCTTTCCTTGACATTTATTTTAGTGGACTTTCAGTGACTGAAAGGTGGAAACCCTTTTTGTACCGCGGAAGAATTTGCAGAAGATTTTCAGTCGTTTTCGCTGGAATGATTGAGCTTACATTTTTTATTCTTTCAGCGTTTAAACTTAGAGACACTCATCTCTGGTATTTTGTAATACCAGGCTTTTCCATTTTTGGAATTTTCTGGATGATTTGCCATATTATTTTTCTTTTAACTCTTTGGGGATTCCATACCAAATTAAATGACTGCCATAAAGTGTATTTTACGCACAGGGTAGATAACAATAGCCTTGATAGAATCATGGCATCCAAAGGGATGCGTCATTTTTGCTTAATTTCAGAGCAGTTAGTTTTTTTTAGTCTTCTTGCAACAGCAATTTTGGGAGCAGTATCCTGGCAGGTAAGCTTATAGTTTGTTTATTATGTCAATGCCTATGATGTGTGGTTAAATGCTTGCTTCAAGAGTTGAAATATTAGAATTGAAAGGTCGAGTTCCCAATTTCAAAAGGAGATTCTTTTTTGGTGCTTATGTAGTTTTATTCATGGAATTGAAGTAATGAATGAATATTGACTGGATAATGTAGTTTGATCTCTGGCAAAGAGGTACCAAAATGTTAGGAATACTCAGCATGTGACATACCTCCTACCTTCTGATTGATTGATCATTAATAAAACACTCATAAAGATCCTTAGAATATTAACATTTGAAGGGTGCTTAGAGTTTGTACTTGAATCCTTTTGTTTTACATATGAGGAAACCAAAAGCTAGAGAAGACATATCCAGAGTCACTGGTACTAGCCAGAACCAGGTTACCTAGCTTCTATCTAGTCTGCTGGTCTCCTCACTACAGCACATTTCTTTTATATAGTCATTTCCCTAAAGATTTTATATAAAAGATGATTAGATATATAATAAAATATCAGATTCCTAATTACAGATCAGAGACTATCCTAAGAAGGAAAAAATGGGTGTTATAATACGTTTGCTGCCCACAATATGTTTTAAAAAAAAAACATCTTTTGTAGACAAAGATATTTAAACTATATGATTGGAGTTTGTATCTACAGTGTTAACAAACCATTCTTCCATTCTTTGAACATTTATTGAATGCAGTGTATGTCAGGTACTGTACTGGGTGCTGAAGATCTAAAGAAGGCACAATCTCTAATGGGAGGGGAAAGAGGCAGGCATGTAAACAATTATTATTACAGTATGACAAGTGATATAATTTGAGTAGATCAGGCTGGGGTGTGGAGCATAAGGGAAGGTCAGTTCTGCTTGGTGCACTTCTCTGCTTTGCACCAGTTAGTTACTGCAGAGGAGCAGGAGGGGAAGGGGAAGGGGGAGGATGTCAGAAACTCTAACAAGAGTTTTCCTTCCTCTTCCTCTCCTCTCTCCTTCCTATTAGCTGCTTTCCCAGCCCTAACTACTTTTTCTTTTCCAAATCGGCCTCTTTCATGCTTGACACCTTTCTAGATCATCAAATCCTCTTAACCAAATATTTTCTAAGTCACCAAATTCTTCTTTTTTTATACCAGTGATCTTCAAATATGATATGTGTATCACTGGAGGTACACAGCTTTCCAAGGAGTATTTCAGCAAAGTTAATTTTAAGAGAATCAATTTCCAGATTTTCTCCTTCCATTCTGCTTTCCTAAAGTTGATTTACTTGAAAATGCCCCTCAATTTAGGTGTGGAGTGGTATCTTATTGTGGTTTTAATTTGCATGTCACTAGTGATGTTGAACATCTTTTAATGGGTGTATTAGCCATTTGGTTATTTTTGTTGTTGAAATATCTATTCAAATTTTTTGCCTGTTCTTAAATTGGGTTGTCTTCTTATGATTGAATTTCAAGGGTTCTTTTTATATTCTGGATATAAGCCCGTTATCAGATATATGATTTGGAAATGTTTTCTCTTAATCTGTGGCTTACCTTTTTAACGATACCTTTTGAAGAGTACAAGTTAATTTTATGAAGTTCAGTTTATCAACTTGTTCTTTTATGGATTGTGCTTTTAGTATCATATTTAAAAAATCTTTGCTCCACCCTAGGTCACAATATGCTTTCTTCTAGTAGTTTTGTTGTTTTAGGTTAAACATTTAGGTTTATGATCCATTTTGAGTTAATTTTTGTTTATGGTATGAGGTAAGATCTATTTATTTTTTTAAATATGGCTTTCTAATTGTTTCAGCACCATTTGTCAAAAAGACTATCCTTTCCACTGTTGAATTGCCTCAGCATCTTTGTCCAAAATCATAAGGCTTTATTTCTGAGCTCTCTTTTTTTGTTCCATTGATCTGTGTGTCTCTTCTTATACCAGTACTATGCTGTCTCACAAGATATCTTTTATTTTCCCTTGAAATTTCTTCTTTGACTTATGTGTTACATTCACGTGTATGTAATGGTGAGGATACGTTCTGAGAAATGCATCGTTAGGTGATTTTGTTGCTGTGTGAACATCATAGGGTTTACTTTCACAAACCTAGATGGCATAGCCTACTACACACCTAGGCTATATGGTACTAATCTTATGGGACGACCGTCGTATATGTGGCCCATTGTTGACCGAAATGTTCTTATGCGGTGCGTGACTGTTTAAAAGTTTGTTGTGTGATATTGTAATATTTAGGGATTTCCCACATTTCTTTCTGTTACTGACTTGTAATTTACTTCCATGTGTTTGGAGAACATAGTTTGTATGATTTTAGTTTTTTATTGAGACTTGTTTTATGGCCTGGCATGTATTTTATTCTGGAGAATACACCATGTTCACTTGAAAAGAATGAGTATTCTGTTGTGGGGCAGAGTGTTCTGTAAATATCACCTAGGTCAAGTTGGTTTGTGGTTTCGTTCATGTATCTATATCCTTGCTAATTTTCTGTCTAATTCTATCAATATTGAGAGAGGGATATTAAAACTATCCATTATAATTGCTAAATTGTGTATTTCTCCTTTCAGTTCTGTCACTTTCTTGCCTTTTGTGTTTTGGAGCTCTGTTCTAGATGTATATACATCTTTAATTTTTATACCTTCTTAATATATTGACCTTTCTGTTATTACAATAAACAGCATAGTTGAGTAGTTACAGCAGAGACCCAGTGGCCCACAAAGCCTGAATTATTAACTTTTTGGCTCTTTACAGAAGGAGTTTGCCAACTCGTGTTCTATACCAGGGCTTCTCAAACGTTAATATGCATAGGAATCAGATGGGGATCTTGTTAAAATTCTGAAGATTGGAATTAACTGATTTGGAAGGAGAGCCTGAAACTGCATTTCTAAGTATCTTAAAGGTGATGTAGAAACTTCTGGTTGGAAGTATACCCATTGAGTGGTAAAGTATTGATTTAGCTATTCAAGACTAACATGAATCTACCTGAGTTTTGTCTGCATTCCCCAAGTAGTTGCTATTGGATAACTGCTGTCTGTGGTGTAGGTATGTATTTAAGGCAATTAAATTTTTTAACTTAATTTTAATCTAACTAATTTCTGTAGAAAGATTTCCCAAATTGTGCTCTGCCCAGTGTTCTGTGAGATGTTAATGAGTATACTCAGAGAAAAAGTGTTCAAAGAAGTACAGAAAGAGAAACATTTCCAAACTTACTTGACCATGAAATCTTTGCGTCTACCTCTCATTATCCCCATTAACCACCCCAACCCAAACACACACACATATACCTATTAACCTCTGTGTGAAGCATAACTTGGGTAACACTCTTCACTGGATTTATACAGGTTCCAACTCTTGATTGATGAAAACATCAGAAAATTATATAGTGAAGGGAAAAAAATTAAGAGCTTGTTAGGCCAGGACTGTTTTTGGCATAATGAAATCATTGTTAATCCAAGTAAATTCTAAGGGCTATCTCAAATTCTTTAAAGTAGATTTTAATTTTTTTATTGAACAATTTTGGCTTAAACATTCCTAAATGATATTGATACTGATTAGATTTTTAATAATATAACTTAAACCCATTTTTCACATTTTTGTGAAAGTAATATTAAAGTGCTAAACTGATTTTTTTCCACTGTCCTAAAATATCCTTAAATGGATTTCCACTGGAAAAACTATTCCACTGATTGGGTTGGAGCAGACTCAATGTGGCAGGCAAAAAATGAGGACCTGAATAAGCCTTTTTTTAAAAAAAAATTATTTTATTGAGGTCACATTGGTTTGTAACATTGAGTAAATTTCAGATGTACATTATTATATTTCAGCTTCTGTTTGGACTGCATTGCGTTCACCACCAAAAGTCTAGTTTCCATCCATCACCATACACTCCCCTCACCCTCTTCCCCTCTGGTAACCACCATCTGTTCTCCTTATCTATGTGTTTGGTTGTTTATCTTCCACATGTGAGTGAAATCATGGGGTATTTGTCTTTCTCTGACTTATTTTGCTTAGCATAATACCCTCAAGGTCCATCCATGTTGTCACAAATGGCATGATTTTGTCTTTTTTTATGGCTGAGTAGTATTCTATTGTATATATACACCAGGTCTTCTTTATTTATTCATCCATTGATGGGCACTTGGGTTGCTTCCAAGTCTTGGCTATTGTGAATAATGTTGCACTGTACATAGGGGTGCATATATCTTTTTGAATTAGTCTTTTCATGTTTTTTGGATGAATACCCAGAAGTGGAATAGCTAGATCATATGGTAGTTCTATTTTTAATTTTTTGAGACATCTCCATACTGTTTTCCATAGTGGCTGCACCAATTTGCATTCCCACCAGCAGTGTATGAGAGTTCCCCTTTCTCCACATCCTCTCCAATACTTGTTTCCTGTCTTTTTAATATAGCCATTTTGATGGGTGTGAGGTGATATCTCATTGTCGTTTTGATTTGCATTTCCCCAATAATTAGTGATGTTGAACATCTCTTCATGTGCCTGTTGGCCACCTGTTTATCTTCTTTGAAAAAATGTCTGTTCGTATCCTCTGCCCATATTTTGATTGGGTTGTTTGTTGTTAAGTTGTATGAGTTCTTTATATATTTTGGAAATTAACCCCTTGTCAGATATGCAGATATTTTCTCCTAGCTGGTAGATTGTCTTTTTGTTTTGTTAATCATTTCCTTTGCCTTGCAGAAGTTTTTAGTCTGATGTAGTCCTATTTGCTTATTTTTTCTTTTGTTTCCCTTGCCTGAATAGACATGGAATTCAAAAAGATACTGCTTAGACCGATGCCAGAGAGTGTACTGCCTATATATTCTTCTAGGAGTTTTATGGTTTCAGATCCTACATTCAAGTCTTTAATCCATTTTGAGTTAATTTTTGTGTATGGTGTAAGATAATGGTCTACTTTCCTTCTTTTGCATGTAGATGTCCAGTTTTCCCAACACCATTTATTAAGAGACTTTTCTTTCTCCATTGTATGTTCTTGGCTCCCTTGTTGAAAATTAGCTGTCCATAGATGTGTGTTTTTATTTCTGGGCTCTCGATTCTGTTCCATTGATCTGTTGTGTCTGTTTTTGTGCCAGTACCATGCTGTTCTGATTACTATAGCTTTGTAGTATATTTTGAACTCAGGGAATGTGATACCTCCAGCTTTGTTTGTTTTTCTCAGGATTGCTTTGATTATTTGGGGTCTTTTGTTCCATATAAATTTTAGGATTCTTTGTTCTGTTTCTGTGAAGAATGTCATTGGGATTCTGATGGAGAGTGCATTGAATCTGTAGATTGCTTTAGGTAATATGGACATTTTAACTATGTTTATTCTTCCAATCCATGAGCATGGAATATCTTTCCATTTCTTTGTGTCTTCTTCAATTTCTTTCTTACAATAATATAATAGTCTTATAGTTTTCAGTGTATATGTCTTTCACCTCCTTGGTTAAATTTATTCCTAGGTATTTTATTATCTTTGTTGCAATTGTAAGTGGGACTGTATTCCTGATTTCTCTTTCTGCTAGTTTGTTGTTAGTGTATAGAAATGCAACTGATTTTTGTATGTTGACTTTATTGTATTCATTAATTATTTCTAATAGTTTTTTGGTGGATTCTTTACGGTTTTCTATATATAGAGTCATGTCATCTACAAATAGTAACAGTTTCACTTCCTCCTTCCCAATTTGGATGCCTGTTATTTCTTTTTCTTGCCTAATTCTCTGGCTAAAACTTCCAATACTATGTTGAATGAAAGTCACGAGGGTGGGCATCCTTTTCTTGTTTCTGTTCTTAAAGGAATAGCTTTCAGTTTTTCACCATTGAGTATGATGTTGGCTGTGGGTTTGTCACAGATGGCCTTTATTATGTTGAGGTACTTTCCTTCTATACCCATTTTATTGAGAGTTTTTATCATAAATTGATGCTGGATCCTGTCAAATGCTTTCTGTGCATCTGTTGAGATGATCATGTGATTTTTATTCCTTATTTTGTTAATATGGTATATCACATTGATTTGCAGATGTTGAACCATCCCTGAATCCCTGGAATAAATCCCACTTGATCATGGTCTATGATTTTTTAATGTATTGTTTTATTCCATTTGCTAATATTTTGTTGAGAATTTTTGCATCTATGTTCATCAGTGATACTGGCCTGTAATTTTTCTTTTTTCTGTTGTCCTTGTCAGGTTTTGGTATCAGGGTAATGGTGGCCTTGTAAAATGAGTTAGGAAGCATCCCATCCTCTTCAGTTTTTTGGAAGAGTTTGAAAAGGATAAGTATTAAATCTTTGAATGTCTGGTAGCATGCACCAGAGAAGCCGTCTGGTCCTGGACTTTTGGTTTTTGGGAGGTTTTTGACTGCTTTTTCAATCTCTTGTGATTGGTCTATTCAGATTCTCTATTTTCTTCTTGATTGATTTTGGGAAGTTGTATAAATCTAAGAATTTGTCCATTTCTTCTAGGTTATCCAGTTTGTTGGCATATAGCTTTTCATAGCATTCTCTTATAATCCTTTGTATTTCTGTGGTATCCATTGTAATTTCTCCTCTTTCTTTTCTAATTTTGTTTGAGCCTTCTCTCCTTTTTTCTTAGTCTGCCTAAGGGTTTGTCAATTTTATCTTTTCAAAGAACCAACTCTTAGTTTCATTGATCCTTCCTATTGTTTTTTTTAGTCTCTATTTCATTTATTTCTGCTCTGATTTTTATCATCTCTTTCCTTCTACTCTGGATTTTGTTCTTTTTCTAGTTCTTCCAGGTATAGTGTTAGACTGTTTGAGATTTTTCTTATTTCTTAAGGGCCTACCTTGAGGTAGGCCCTTATTGCTATAAACTTCCCTAAAGAAGCCTTTTGAGTAGATCAGTTTAGTCGGCTATAGATAGGATGAATTAAAGTAGAGATAGACTGAAACCAAGAAAGCTAGCTAGGAGTAAGATATAAGGACCTGGACTAAGGTGATAGGGGAAAATTGCTGTGCTAAGGATAAGATTAAGAGAATTATCAAGGAAAAAACTGATAAATCTTGTTGAGAAGTAAAATTTAAAGAGAATTTGAGATAAGTTGATGAATTGTAGAGTTGAATATTCTGACATGGTGGATAGTCTAAAAATGTTGAAAAGATGTTGAGAGACTGAAGGGAGCAGATGGGAATGTAGGATGATGGATTTCATTGAGTTAATGACCTAGTGGACATTTCTA